TACTTGACCAGGAAAAGCTTCGAATCGTCAGCTATGCTGCAGTATTATGTGCATTCGAGAAAGAAAAACACATCTGGCTTGAGTACGATGATGATTCTCAAAATCGTCTCGATATCCATGCTTCTAGATTAACGTGTGGAATATTCAGGGAATTGCAAGGAAATTTGTTGTTCCTGTTGAGAAAAAATCGTTATGCAGGAACTTCGGATAAGGCATTCCTGCGTCTTAGACTTACGCGAAAGATGGCCGCACGAACGCCAGGGGCTGCATTTCTCCAACTTCCGTGTTGTCGCACAAGATTCTCGCGAAACTTGTCTGTCGAATTTCTTCTAGTTGATCTATTAAAAAATATGTAATTTAGGTGGGCATGCAGAACTGTCATGATGAACCAGAAGAAAAAAAAAACTATAAAAGCCAGAATGGTTAGAATATCGCGTCTCCCTAAAAATAAGATGATTTTTCTTAAATCAGAGCCGTGTGTGATTCATCGAATACAGGCGCAAAAATTACCATGGGAAAGATTTTGTTCAACATTGTAGAGATGGTAGGCACCTTTCACGGAATTTTGAATGAAAAAACTGCAATACTGAAGAATATAAGGAAGAGAGAGAGGATTTGAGAAAAGAAGAATTAGAAAATCCTGGAGATCTAGATTCTAAAAGATAGGGGCGAAATATTTCCGTGTTCCGGTTGATAATCCCAATACTGTATTGCTTGAATACTCTCTTGCTACGGTTTGATTCCCTGACTTAGTCAAGATGTTAGAATAATAACGCTCTTAAAATCGGAAAATATTCGTAAACCTTCAGTGAAAGACGCTGCGTGTCCTCCAAATTCGTAGAAGAATCTGTCGCCTCGTTTCAGTCTGGTAAATTGGTCACCAATTATGCAAAGGAACGTAGGACCCAGCACAGCATCAGGGACAGATTCCTCGGAAACACCACCAATAAACAAGTCGATGTCATCTACGTGCTCGTAGACGCTTCGAAGTTTTCTGATAGTCTGCAAATCGCGAAAAGGGTTAATTTTGATAATCCTTCTGACCTTAATGACTAAAACAGATGATAAATATTGGTGTGAAGTGCGTCTACATCAGAAACTTATTTGAGCCCCGTCATAATTTCCAAGTCTTTCTGATGAAATAAATGAGTAACAATTTTGATTGTACAGTAAAATAATTATCTTATATTGACCATTATTTTCTACTGATATATGCTGATTGTTTGAAAAATGAAATTAAACAAAAGCATACTCAGGAGAATAATACTTCCTCCCAAATAAACATTTTCATTCAAACCTGCTGTTTATCCTTTGAAATAAAGGAAAATTCTTTCCAACAGAGATATGTCATGCAGTTTATTTTCTTGAATGCTAAATTCCTGTACACGAAGTTTTGCTTCTTTGACGGAGTTAGGAAACTTCGAATGCTGCACCAGTTCGTTTCTTTCCAATTTTCTGCGAATCATAAAGTAATCCCTATGAACTATGCACAGAATCCAGGCCAAACTTTTTTGTATTGAGCTCAGAGCTTGAAATGCATTCATTAAAATGACACTTTTATAACATGGGGTTTATGGAGAAACTGCTGGGACCA